AAAGAAAGAAAGAAAGAAAGAAAGAAAGAAAGAAAGAAAGAAAGAAAAAAGAAAAAAAAAAAGAAGAAAGTAGGTAGAGAGGATCCAGGTCCCTGAATAATTGTGGGGAGAACTGCATGCTGAGCCAGTCTGTTTACATTTACATGGGGAGGATATAAAGCATCTGGTGTGAGCTATTGCATTTTGGAGGTTCCAAAGGTTAACCTTATCCAGGTTGGGTATATTTCACCAAACTGTTGGAAGCCAAAGAAAATAGAGGATGTGATATCCCCTTATAAACTAATGTGTCTTACAAGTAGATTATGACTGCCACGTAATTGAATGAGCCATCAGTGGAAGCAACAACTCTGAAAAACTAAACATACTACTGGCAAATGGAATCATCCAGTCTAATCTTACTACACTGAGCAAAGGAAGCAAGGGTGATAGACACACACTGCTCTCTGAGCATCAACCCTCTCTTCCTATTAACACCTCTTCTCTTTGGGGAGTCTTGGGAGGTGGCCTCCCAAGACATGAAGCCTGAGGGGCCACATCCCCTCTCCCCGCTTCTGCATATAACCAACTTAACATGAGGATGGCTGGAGTTCATGTCCATCATGCTTCAGAGTGTCAGAGGTGGACCGGACTGTGCCTGGGGCCTGCCCTTTGTTGCCAAGAACCTTGGCTCATGCCCCAGGCGGCTGTCAGCTCTCCACATCTGAGCTCACTCACAGACAGAACTTCAGCAATTAAACAATATCTGTCTCGAGAATCGCCCAGTTCCCTTCATTACAGCCCTTCACGAATCCTCTCAACATCCCTGAGAAAGTGGAAAGCAAGTATGTCTTTCCTAACCTGACAGCAAGCAGATGTTTGGGGAAGGAATTAGCTAGCACACAAGAGCCTCCAGGAGCAGAGGAGAACTTGACTCAGGTGCCCTGGGCACCTGCAGCTGACCAGGGCTTCCTGGCCCACCTTCTTTCTATAATATGTGTCCCTTCTGCGCCTGCTGGGCCAAGGTCCTTGGCATGCCCACTGTTGGAGATTAGAGACTCATTCCTTTGTATTTCCCAGGAATTCTCTTCCTTCAAGATGGAAAAAGTCCTGGGGGAGGGGCTCCGTGTTTCTTTATTACCTAAGCTGCTGAGTCACAATGCAGGCTTGGAGCCTCTGGAAGAGGGGCTACCAATGACAGAAGCCATTTCTTTCCCCACAGTAAAGCCCAGGCATGCTCTTTCCATTTGCCACACTTGGTCCCCAGAGCTGAGGGGGACGCAGGTCAAGAACATTAATTGCATCCCGATTTCTAAAATCCCGTCTGTTTACTGCGATTTAACCTCCCCAGAAACAGATTTTTGCTTCAGGTGCTTTTCTGCTGGTCTCAATTTCCCCATTTTATTGTCTCCTCATTCAGACTTTTCCTGTTGGTCACTGAGCAGTGCAAATGACAGAATTTTTCCCAATAGCCCCAGAAATGTGAGGTGCGGAGAGAAAGAAAGAGTGCGCACCCCTGGACGCAGGAGACAAGCAGGTTTCTGATCTGGACGCTCTCACATCGCAGCCCCCTGCAAAAACGTTGTGCATATGCTTTACCTTTGATTCACACACAACCCTCAAACTGACACGCTTATACCAGACAAGGCATAGTCTGAATGCTTTCGACGCGTGGTTAGAAGCAGAGACCTTTTCCTTTCCCCCCACCTTTCTGACACACTTTTGTTGGCTTCTGATCTTGAAGTTCTCCCCCTGCCCTAGGCTCTGATTCTCCCAAAGCCCAGCCTCTCCTCCCAGCCTGTGATCGCCTGACCATTCTTTGAGATGAGTGTCATTTACTTCTTTACAGGGGAAGGGAAGAGCTAAGCACTTGCTTCTGACTCCTACTTTCCCTTTATTCTACAGCAAGACAGCAACTGCCTTTGCAAAGGGCTACACTAATCAGACACATGCAGTGGAAGGAGGAATTCTGGGCAGGAATTCTGCCTGGACTAAGGACTTCACGACTCAGTTTTCTGCTCTGCAAAATGGAAGTAAAAACCCCTTTCTCTCGGGCTTGGTGAAGCCACCACCTTGGTGCCTCTGGCCAATTTAATGGTCTTTAAGTTTTAGCAAGAACCTTTAGCCTGTGTGATTGATTAACTATACCTGTCTTTGTATATTTATTGATCGTGCCTCGTCTCCTAGAAAGACTCAGAATGAAACCCTCTGGTACAACCTCCCCCCCGGGGCACCAGTACATAACCTCCAAGCACCGAGATAGGGTCTATGGCTGGCACCATTGTGTCTGCATGTAATCAAGAAATGTCACAGATCACTGTGCTCCCGTTTTGCTGATTAACTGCCCTAAAGTTTCTTTAAAAAATCTTTGGGACAGGCAGAAACCTCGAGCTGGTGTTTGGGCAAGAGTCTACCTTCTCCCCAGGCAGATGACCTCCTGAATAAAGCATGTGTTCCTTTCCAATTAAAGCTCATCTCTCGCTCTCTCTCTCTCTCTATATATATATATTTTTAAGTTTATTTATTTATTTCGAGAGACAGAGAGAGAGAGGGAGGAGAGTGCTTGTGCACGCCAGGAGGGGCATAGGGAGAAGGGAGAGAGAATCTGAAGCACCTTCCTCGACGTCAGCACAGAGCCCTATGTGGAACTCAAACCCATGAACCACAAGATCATGACCTGAGCCAAGATCAAGAGCTGGTCACTTAACCAACTGTATCACCCAGGCTCCCCAACAAGTTTATTTTTTAAAGTATAGAATTGTAGGTGAAATGGGGCTTGATCTCATGGGGCGTGAGATCATGAGCTGAAACCAAGAGTTAGACACTTAGTTGACTGAGCCACCCAAGGTGACCCAAAACTCATGTCTTGATTATTAGCTTGTCCAGTGATAGGTAGCCAGAAGGGGTTTTTTTGGTAACATTGGGGGTAATAATTAAAGGCATAGCACATGTTAAGCATGGGGCATGAGAGTAATTGGCATTATACCCATTAGCTTCCTTCATTTTCCAGTATCCTGCAGATAAAGAATTTGGGGAGAGTAGTAGCATTCTGACAAATGACACCGTGGCTTCCTGAGGTATGGTCCCAGGCTGCTTCTGTTACAAAATAAAAAGCAGCACTACATAAGTGATATCACACACACACACACACACACACACACACACACACACACACACACTGCCCCAGCTCTTGGCTGTCATGTGGTGAGACGCCGTAGTCTTAGTGAGATCTCATCACTGAGAACAGAGAAACAGCCTGCTGGTAACGAAGTTACTCCCACACTTACTCAAAACTATAAAATGCAACCTGGAGAAAAGAATAGAATGTGATAATTTATTTGTTTATTTATAACTTTTTACTATTTATGTTTAAGTCTTTTTTTTTTTAATGTTCATTTTTGAGAGAGAGAGACACACAAAGAGCATGAGCAGGAGAGGGGCAGAGAGAGAGGGAGACACAGAATCCAAAGCAAGCTCCAGGCTCTGAGCTGTCAGCACAGAGCCTGATAGGGGGCTCGAACCCATGAACTGTGAGATCATGACCTGAGCCAAATCAAGAGTCGGACACTTAACTGACTGAGCCCCCCAGGTACCTATATATTTTTAAAAATATTTTTCTTTTGTTTTAAGTTTGTTTTTGAGAGAGAGAGGAAGTGCGTGTGCGAGCAGCGGGGGAGGAGCAGAAAGAGAGGGAGACACAGAGAATCGCAAGCAGGCTCCCAACTTGGGGCTCGAACTCACGAACCATCAGATCATGACCTGAGCTGAAATCAAGAGTCAGACATTTAATCAACTGAGCCACCCAGGTGCTCCACCCCTCTATGTTTTTGACTAAACATAGACATGTGTGAGATAGGATGTATTTTAGTCTATAAACAATACCTTCAAAATATAAATGGCAATCTTTTGAAAAAGAAAGTTTTATTAAATTATTAAAATGAAGTTTTAATTAAGTTTTATCATCCATAGAGTAAAACCTGAAACGGTCGTATGTAATTCGAGAGCCATTCCCACTCCCACATCTGTTTGTTATAAAATAGCCTTTGAATTTGATTGCCAGGGAAGGAGCTCTGTGTTCAAAGCAGGAACTCTTACGTGACTCCCAAACTCCTTGAAACTTACTTGCCCAATTTTGCATGCATGAAACTATGTGTTGTTCTTTTTCCAGATAGATTGTCAGTGTCTTTCAGCAGATTCTCAAAAGGGTCTTTACCCCAGAAAAATTGAAAGCCTGTGATTTGGGGATTATGCACTGCCATGGGATTTCGAAAGCGTCCTGCTACCATGTCTAGGCCAGGCCATCAACTCCACCTGCTCCCACGGTTGCATTCTCGTTTCTGCTCTACTACACGCCCCAGGACCTAGTGACTGAGAGTCCCACTGCACTTCTCTTGTATCACAGAAGGAGGATGTCACCAAGCCTCCCCAACCCACTGAGCTAACTCCCTCCTCCTGG